CAGCAATCACTCAAAAGAAAGTGAAAAGACGGAGAGGATCTGGAAGACAGCTCTCCCAGTATGTGTCAATGTAGCTAGAATGTATTAATCAGCTATAGTCATTGGAAAAATAGAGAAATCATCAAACAATCTAGAAAATCTATTTTAACAGGATTAAATTAATACCTGTTTGAAAGTCTTACATCAAAACTTAAAATGCTATGTCTTCTGAGATCTTCAGACAGCGTTTGTCTTTTAATGCTTATTCTATGTTCAGTGAATGTCCACATGAAGCTTTAAAAAAATTTTGTTCAAGATCCATAGGCCAAGATATTTTTTCAGAAAGTTATTCTTTTGAATATGTGGACTTTTTCAACGATCAAATAAACATTTTATTTTGACATTTTAAAAAATTCATCAACAGCATTGATATCTAAAAATAAAAATATTTCATCCAGAACTCAATATTTATTTTCATTTGAGTATTGTGTTCCTATATTTCATGGAACTTCTAGCTTCGTTGCCTTTCTGGGTAGAACAATTAATTTGGATTAAATCTCTCTTGATTCACCATACACAAAGAGTTCAAGGAATATAGTTGAAGATACGACCTAACTAATAGATAAGAGTTTGAACTCAGAAGTATACAACTCTATTGCTCAAGGAGCATCACAGCAACATCCCTGAATACATTTTTAAAAATTTTGCCTACGTTCTGTCAAGTTTTAAACCTTCAAAACAGGTCTTTCAATTTAAAGAAAAAAACAAGAAGAAACATTTCAGATTCAACCCTCATTTTTTAACAGACATGAGGAATCGCAGTTTACAAAGTGCGTTTCAACCATGACATAAATCATCCATGGGAAGTCTGTCTGGCCTTCTCATTCAGCTACATTTGGATTTTGTTTATAGGCTTTAGACAGTGTTGAATAATTGTTCTACATAATCCCCCCATTTTCTTTGAAAACAAAAGGTTTATATTATGGGAAGAACAATTTAACCAGAAACAGGAGTGAGTACACATAATGAAAACAATGTGTAACCTGACCTTAGAAAAAGAATAGCACATACACATCTCCATGTTTTTTATTCCTTGCTGAACCTCCTTCTTCTACCTAAACATTACCAATTCTAAATGCCAGAAGCTACAAGGTTGGTGTAAAATCAAGAGAAGCAGAACAGCACTGGAACTTTAAAATGGTACAAAAGGACATGTGGTTTTCCATTTCCTGCTACCTCTTGTACCAATCTAGGAGATGGAACTGGAATTTTGTGGGAAGGAAGCATGTTACCACTGAGAAAAAGCAGGCAGTCTACACATTCTTCTTTTATACAGGTTGACAACTATTTAGAGGAGAGACATGTGGCCCCTTAGAGCTGCAGAACTCTCTTGAGTGCCTCTACACTAGTGCTGAAGTTCAGATCAGGAGCCTACTTCTGAAGCTAATTTCCCAATTGTCATCGCATACTGTGCTTTGGCTTGTAGCACGGGACAGTCTTGGATGATGTGGATCATCTTCTCACACTAAACTGAATTAGAAGATGGGCTTCCGGAGTGCATCTAATGAACTCCAGCCACAAATAGGCATTCAATGCATATGACGAGGCAACAGCTAGTCTGTGTGGTCTACTGTGCTTACTAAAGTAAGGCATAGCTTACTTGATTGTTGATGGGCAACAGTGAAATATATGTCCATAAAAAGGACTGTGATATATTGATGCAATTTTAAATTCTCCTAGCAATAAACGTATTTCTACTGACAGAACACAATGTAATTAATCAGGTCCATGTACCACTGACTAGCTGAGAGCAAAGGGGTTACCTTAATCGGGCTCCCATCTGGAGTGAGAACCTCTTCTGAAAGCTCCATCATCTTCAGTGCCATCAGGGCAATGGCTTTAGCATGACTAAGACTTTTCTTATGGAGCCCTGCTGCAACGCAGTACGCATCACCTATTGTTTCCACCTGCAGCAATCAAACAAATCAAATGTTAGAGTATGATAATGAGAAGAGATCCCTACCATTAGTTATCTGCAATCAAATAGCATTGCTTAAAAACATGTGAGCAAAACATCCTTAAAATAAGCAATTAGACAACGGAGCATAATTACCTGAGTTTGCAAACAGGTGCAGTCAAAACCTGACATGCAATTGCATCGTGGTTCATCACCATTATAACCAAAGAAGATCATTACATCTAGAATAGTGTATGCCATCAGCTGAAATGTGACAACATTTTCACATAGCAGTAACACAAAAAAACCTGTTTTCCTAAATGAGAAATTGCTTGCAGCTTTGTCTGACACTATCCTGGCTGAGTCTGCTGTTGGGTAAGAATAGTGCTACATGGTAATAATTCAGAATTATTATTTGCTGTGCTAGAAAAGTTTATCAGGAAGAGAATTAGTAAAAAAAAAACATCACCATAAAAAACAGTTAAGTGTCTATACCTTCTCACTAGCAGGCAGCTCTTCGTGGTATAGGGATAATTTACACAGAGATGCTATTGCTACAGACTTTTGACTGCACCTGTATCTGTTATTTTCAAATAAGAATTGTTGCCTCTCTCTACTGTGCAGGCTACCTGACTGTGAATTCCCTACCTTGAGGCATCAAGTTCAGCAGACTGATCCCTCTGGTCTCTTCAGACAGGCCTTACCCCTCTCTCATCCTTGATTTTCTTTAAAGCAAGCTGTCCCTCAGGAGGAAGAGGAAGCAAAAGAAATTACAGAAGCCCTCTGGTTCTGGATAAAGGCAGCCTGAGAAACACTGAAGCCCTCAAGTTCTGCAGCTTTACTGACAGCATAGTGTTTTGCAGTCTGCTTGCCCACACATCTGCAATGTGCTCTGCACACAGGCTGTTAACACATGCCCAAGCAGACTCAGCCCTCAAGGATTAGTTTGGGTTTTGCTACATAGCTGATCTGGCTT